GAAGTGCCAGAGGTTTCGCTTGACGTCATCATGCTTGCTACAAGTCGCGCACGTAGACTCTACCGACCAGCTCTGATACCACTGTTGTAGAGGACTCTCTTCTACTTTTCAGGAACTGGGAATTGTTCTAAGCAGTAGAGCACTCTGCTAGCTTTCCAACGAGCCGTAGATCACCTCGTTCGCCTAAGTATCGAGCGAGATATCGCCGTTTATGTGCTAGGTAGTGCTCTTAGATTGAAGGATAGGAGCTCTCTGGAATTTGTGCTCGAATGTACCTTGTACAAAGAACTCTGAGTTTCACTATGAAACATGCATACAAGGCAAGTCGATTTATAGCAAATGCATTACATCGAACCGCACATGTAACATCGCATCGCTACACTCGCGTCGCGAATGCGCCGCGTGTAACATTTCGGTTGGGGTGAAATTCGGCCACCGAATTTCACACCGAACACACCGAATTCGCCTTGCACTTGAAGGTTGGAATGTGGTGCCGCCACGTGGCACCGAATTGTGAGTCTTCCGAAGTCAATCGGTGCAACCCCACCGATCCCTAGTCAAAGGGATCGAAGGCACCGAAGTGCCCTCGGTGGGTTGGGGGCATACAACCGCCCCACCACCGAACTCCCTCCAACACTCCCCCTTGCACCCAACCCACTAGGTGCGCAAGCCAACATGCTCATAGCATGCACGGGGTGAACCTTTAGGGAGTGGTTCCGTGAGGGAATCCGCGTGTTCATTATCACCCTTGGTCGCGAAGCAATATGCCACGCCCTCTTTATCCGTCTCCCCAACGGCTACCGTAGCATAGTCGGCGTACTTGGAGGGAGGACGAACCTCACGACGCTCGCGAGTCAAGGCCAATGGTAGGGAGGAAGGTGTGGAGGTAGTTGCCGCCTCGGTTGGTGACACCTCCTCGACATCATCAACGCTCTCCTCGTTGTTCCCTCCCCCTCCTTCTTCGGCTTCCTTCTCCACTTGAGATGGAACCTCACTCTCTTCAACCTCCTCTCGTGGCGGAAGGATGAAGGTGAGTTGTTGAGTGGGTTTTTCCTTTGACGGGAACTTGTCTTCATCGAAGACCACGTCCCGAGACGTGACAACGCGTTTTTCATCCAAATCCCACACTCGCCATGCACGCTCGTTTGGCGCCACTCCCAAGAAGATCGCCGCACGAGCTTTTGGTTGCAACTTGTGGCGAAGTGGATCCGGTACATGGTAGTAGCAAAGGCACCCAAAGGTGCGTAGGCGGTATAGGTTCGGCTTCGTTCCGGTCCATGCTTCGAACGGAGTCGTTCCCGGTAGCACCTTTGTTGGCACACGATTACGAATCCATGCCGCTAGCGCACTCGCCTCTCCCCACCACTCGTTCCCAAGCTTGGAGTGTTGAAGAAGTGAACGGACGGCCTCCACCAATGTGCGGTTGAGCCGCTCCGCCGCTCCATTTTGTTGGGGTGTGTAGGGTGTCGTGACGTCGTGCTTAATGCCCTTGCTTTTCATCCATTTTTCAAGCTCGTTGTTCACGAATTCGCCGCCACCATCGGTGCGAATGCACTTGATCCGCTTCTTGCCGTTGTCGCAAACATCGAGCGCCCACTCTTGAATCGCCTTGGCCGCATCTCCTTTAGCCTTCAAGAGCCGGGTCCAACACATCCGCATTGCGTCGTCGAGCATCACTAAGAGGAACCGCGCTCCTCTCTTTGATGCATGCCGCATCGGTCCACACACGTCCATGTGAACAAGCGCAAGCGGGTCCTTAGCGAGGGGTGAGGTACGGCTACCAAATGGCTTGCGAGCCATTTTTCCTTCGACACACGCCGCGCACACGCCCTTCTCGTCGTTGCCGGCGATCACGTCAAATCCCTTCGCAAGTCCTTTGTTGGCCAACTCCTTGACCGAGTCGTAGTTGGCGTGCGCAAGCCGATTATGCCACATCTTGAGAGTCGCCTTGGAGCCTTGCGCCACGTTGGATGAGGCCGTATTCGGATGCGTCTTGAGTTGGTAGAGTTGTCCGTTGAGAACGCCTTGCGCGAATTGCTTCCCCTTCCAAAAGAGGTTCATCTTCGCGCCATCGATGGTGACCTTCACGTCCTTCTTCGCGAGTTGAGTGACGGAGAGTAGATTCACCTTCAATCCCGGGACGTGAAGAACGTTCGTGATGTCCACCGGCCCGCTATCGACGATGAGACGCGTACTCCCAACTCCAACCACCGGTAGCGATTTGTCGTTCCCGAAGACGACGCGCTTAACGTCTCCCGGAGCACCGATGTTGTTGAGGAGCGACGCCGAATGCGTCATGTGTTGTGTTGCACCGGTGTCGAGGAACCACGCGTCGTTTGAAGTGTTGATCCCGTCACCGGCCAACAAAACGAGCGACTCCGTTGAATCATCCGCCTCGCCGGATGCCGTGTGCGCGTTGCCCTCTTGGTTCCGCGCCTTCGATGGAGTCCAATCGCTCGGCCGCTTCCGACATTCACGCCAAAAATGTCCCGCTTTGCGACAATAGTGGCACTTGCTCGAACCGTTTGATGCGTTGCTTTTGCCGCGCTCGTTTCCACCGGACGACTTCTTCGCCTCACCCTTGCTCCACTTGGACTTCTTTCCGGAGCTCCCTCCGGAGAACATGGCGGTCTCCACGCTCTCGTTAGCGAATTGTCGGCGTCGCGATTCTTCATGGAGAAGCCGACCGACCACCATTTCCTTCGTCCAAGTGTTTTGCACGCTATCGAGTGTCGTAATCACCGTCGACCACTCTTCCGGAAGGCCGCAAAGCAAGGTGAGAATCCAATCCTCCTCCGTGACCGTTCCACCGAGGTCCATGAACGTTTCCCCGAGTTCCTCCACACGAGTCGCATACTCGTGCATCGATTCGCCCGCGCGTAACTTCACCGTGTAGAACGCATTTCGGGCTAGGATCTTGCCGTGGAGAGTCTTGTTCACGTGCATCGTCTCGAGCCGCTTCCATGCTTCACGCGCCGACGCTTCGAGCTTGATGCACGTGCGCACCGAACTCACGAGGTTGATGCCGATGCGCGAAATCAACATTGCGAACGCCTTTTGGTCCTTCTTCTTCCATGCCGCGATCTCGTCCTCGTTGACCGGCTTTTTCTCCGTTCCGTCGAAGAGACCCCAAAGTCCCCGCTCCATCATGAGCACTTGGAACTTAAATTTCCACGCGGAGTAGTTTTGTCCCGTGAAAATCGGAACCGCCGACGTGTCGAACACCGTCGCGTTTGTCCAGGGTTCGCCGGGATTCGAGACGACACCACCTAAGGAAGTGCCAGAGGTTTCGCTTGACGTCATCATGCTTGCTACAAGTCGCGCACGTAGACTCTACCGACCAGCTCTGATACCACTGTTGTAGAGGACTCTCTTCTACTTTTCAGGAACTGGGAATTGTTCTAAGCAGTAGAGCACTCTGCTAGCTTTCCAACGAGCCGTAGATCACCTCGTTCGCCTAAGTATCGAGCGAGATATCGCCGTTTATGTGCTAGGTAGTGCTCTTAGATTGAAGGATAGGAGCTCTCTGGAATTTGTGCTCGAATGTACCTTGTACAAAGAACTCTGAGTTTCACTATGAAACATGCATACAAGGCAAGTCGATTTATAGCAAATGCATTACATCGAACCGCACATGTAACATCGCATCGCTACACTCGCGTCGCGAATGCGCCGCGTGTAACATTTCGGTTGGGGTGAAATTCGGCCACCGAATTTCACACCGAACACACCGAATTCGCCTTGCACTTGAAGGTTGGAATGTGGTGCCGCCACGTGGCACCGAATTGTGAGTCTTCCGAAGTCAATCGGTGCAACCCCACCGATCCCTAGTCAAAGGGATCGAAGGCACCGAAGTGCCCTCGGTGGGTTGGGGGCATACAACCGCCCCACCACCGAACTCCCTCCAACAGATTCGCCCGCGCGCATCTTCACCGTGTAGAACGCATTCAGGGCTAGGATCTTGCCGTAGAGAGTCTTTTTCACGTGGATGGTCTCAAGCCGCTTCCACGCTTCATGCGCCGACGCTTCGAGCTTGATGCACATGCGCACCGAGCTCACGAGATTGATGCCGATGCGCGAAATCAACGTAGCGAACGCCTTTTGGTCCTTCTTCTTCCATGCCGCGATGTCGCTCTCATTGTCCGGCTTCTTCTCCGTTCCATCGAAGAAACCCCAAAGTCCCCGCTCCATCATGAGCACTTGGAACTTAAACTTCCACGCGGAGTAGTTTTGTCCCGTCAAAATCGGTACCGCCGACGTGTCGAACATCGTTGCGGTTGCCCAGGGTTCGCCGGAATTTACAACGACACCATCCAAGGAAGTGCGGGAGGCCTCGCTTAACGTCATCATGCTTGCTCCTTGTCGCGCGTGTAGACTCCTCCGACCAGCTCTGATTCCACTGTTGTAAAGGACTCTCCTCTACTTTGCAGGAACTGGGAATTGTTTTAATCAGTAGAGCACTCTGTTAGCTTTCCAACGAGCCGTAGATCACCTCGATCGCCTAAGTATCGAGCGAGATATAGTCGTTTATGCGCTTGCTAGTGCTCTTAGGACAAAGGTTAGGAGCTCTCTGGATTTTGTAGTCGAGTGTATCACATACAAAGTGATTCTCGATTTCAGTATGAAACATGCAATACAAAGCAAACAGATTTATAGCATGCAATCAACATCCAGTCGCACAAGTAACCTCGAACCGCGGTACACTCGCGAATGTTCGAGTAACATTTCGAAGGGGTGAAATTCGACACTCGAATTTCACCGAACCGAATTTCCCTTCAATCTCGAATGTTCCTGGTGCTGCCATGTGGCACCGAATTGACGAGTCTTCCGAAGTCAAACTTCAGCCCCACGCAAACCTGCAGCTCACCCGAAGGTGAGCACCAAAATCAGCACCGCTTGGTGGTTGGGGGCAAAACTCCCCCACGCAACCTCCAACATTCTAATGAGCGGCAAGTCGTTTTAGCCTAGGCCAACTAAATCCCTTAGCTCTCACCGCGCCCATGGCTACTAAGCATGAGGGGTCGGTGCTGGAAGAGAGAATGGCTGCTCTCGATCTCTCTCAGACCGCGGCTGCTGAGAATTCTCATGAGGTGAGCGTGATGCCGCAGACAATGCAAATAATCCTTCCATTTCCTCGTATATCCTCCTCGCCTGGTCCTCTCCCTCTCCCGCTGCCTTCTTCTCTCTCATCGCCACTTCTTCCCCACCCACCAGAGCGTGGACGTGGTTGATCTGCTGCCTGGCCGCATCTGATTTTATGGTTTCTCATCACACCCCTACTAATACTCCTTGGATTCCTCTCTCGTCCCCAATTCTCCTCACTCTGTTCATCAGAGCGTGGACGTGGTTGATCTGCTACCCGGCCCCATCTGGCACATCATCTTCTGCCTCCTGCTGCTGCCGCCAGCAGATTCTGCTCAGCTGCAAAAACAAGGCAGTGCCACTCACCTGCAGAACCGGGACTTCCTGGGCGCATTACAGCAGGGAGCAGGCAGCACCTCATGTGCCACAGCCAATCAGAAAACTGCCAGCCTGAGGGAGCAGCATGAGAAGGACATGAGGCGCTTCGGCTCCTCCTGGCCTCTGCTGCGCTGTGCCATGGCCAGCAAGAGGCTTCTTCACCATATCGTCTCTTTCTCCGTGATTCATGCTCCGATGCTCTGTGATTCATGCTCTGATGCTCTGTGATTCATGCTCTGATGCTCTGTGATTCATGCTCTAATGCTCTGTGATTCATGCTCTGATGCTCTGTGAGGCATGCTCTGATGCTCTATGATTCATTCTCTGATGCTCTGTGATTCATGCTCTGGTGCTCTCTGATTCATGCTCTGATGCTCTCTGATTCATGCTCTGACGCTCTTTAATTCATGCTCTGATTGCTCTGATGATCTCTAATCCATGCTCTGATGCTCCGTGAGTCATGCTCTGATGCTCTGTGATTCATGCTCTGATGCTCTCGGATTCATGCTCTGATGCTCTCTGATTCATGCTCTGATGCTCTCTGATTCATGCTCTGATGCTCTCTGATTCATGCTCTGATGCTCTTTAATTCATGCTCTGATTGCTCTGATGATCTCTAATTCATGCTCTGATGCTCTGTGATTCTTGCTCTGATGCTCTCTATTTCATGCTCTGACGCTCTCTAATTCATGCTCTGAAGCTCTGTGACTCATGCTTTGATGCGTATTGAGGTGTCACCTCTCTGTGTGAGCAGGAGCTGGAGCCCATCTCCCTTGTTTACAACAGCCAGGAGATTCAATGTACAGAGATGGTTTCCTGGTTCCTCAGGCTCGCAGCTTACAAGTCCCTCGACCTCACTTTCACCAGCTTCCAGGATCTGCAGAGCCTCAGCCGCCTTACGGCTTCTTCTGCACATTCCCTGACGAGCCTGTGCCTTAGGTGTAGAAATTTGTCTATCGGAAACGATCCTATTCAATGCGAGATAAAAAAACCCGGTGTTCCTCGATAATTTTGGGCAGCTGCAGCGGCTGAAGCTCGGTCGTGGGAGGTGGAAGCTAGGCAACCTGGAGGCCGCATGGTTCAAGGCTCTAAGATGCCTGAGCATTGACCAGATGGACTGCAACGGCAATGATTTAGCATTTCTGTCAGCAATCACACCGCAGCTGCATGAGTTTTCTTTCTCTGCCGAGAGCCATTACCCGTGCCACCTCAGTTTTGAGTTCTCCGCTGCTCGAGTCATCAATGTCACTTTTGAGCAGCAGAGGCTCAACCTCCGCTTCTCCCTCCCTCCCTCGTTGAAGGCCTTTTCTGTCGCAGCAGAGGCATTGGAGATCAATTGCAACTACTCCAGCCCACTCTCTCTCGGCTCGCTCACTTTAATCGGTCGCAATCAGCTTGTTGTTTCGTCGCTCCCACTGGTTTCCACCAAAACTGTCTTTCTGAATGGACCAACCACCCTCGTGCAGTCCAGCTTGCCTTGGGAAGAGCGTTTTGCTGTCACCATTATTTCTCAAACTGCTTTGACTGCCACTCAGCGTTCCTTGAACCAGCTACTGAGCAGCATAGCGCCAACAGTGGAGAAGTTGACTGTGAGGCATGGCTTGCTGCTAGAGGAGGTGCACGCAGAATGGAGCTGCCTGCGTCGACTCGCCATTGGTGTGAATGGCAGGAGAAGTGGTGGTGGGAGACGCACTGCTGCATTGAATGATGCTGAATCTCTTTCTCATCTAAGAAGGGGCTTTGTTGAAGGAGAAGCAAGGGGGGATGAAGCAATTAGCCCTCCCTTCATCAATGCTCCAAAGCTGCACTCGATTTTCTGTGCGACGCGGGAGTGGCACCTTGGAACTCTGGTTTCTTTGCGCAGGCACTTCCCTTCTCTCACATTCTACTGCATTGTTGGCCGATCCTTCCGCTGGGAGGGGGAGGGGGAGAGGCGGAGGAATGAGTCGGTAATGAAACCGAGGAGAGGCGATGCTGACATGAGCCAGGACATTGGAATCCTTGATTCAAATATTCCACCCAACTCCCTTTCCCAAATGACATGTTTATACCGTACCAAAGACGCTGGAGGCGGTAAGAACACATCGAGTTTGGAACCCTCGATATGGGCTCCCATTGTACTTCAAACGCGTATACTTGATTTTCCCTCCAACATGTGCAGGTACCGTACCTAGACCTTACGGGTTTACCGAGGTGTGTGTGAACTCGACAAACTCGAGAGTCCAGCGACGCGAACAACGGGATTGATGTATTTACATCGAAGTATGGTAGCTTCTAGCGACGCGACGACGGGCTGCGTGTCCCGTGAGGTGGTTGCTGATGCCTCTTAGAAACTATATCTGAGGAGCTTCTAAACTGCTCAGAAATCTAATGTCCAATGACAACGTTGCAGCTGCCACTTGTCAGCCACCAGAAGCCTGGGAACCGACCGCCAGCTGTCGGAGCCAAAGCAGCATGCCGGTCATTATTCCGAAATGCTCAGAGGCATCCCGCGGAACCCCGGTCCTCGCGTCTTGTCCATTCCTTCCCTCGCCGCTCATCATCCTCCTGCCTCGTCGTGTCACGCTGCTACGATTTCAGTCAGCCCGTCGCGCTGCTGGTTACTGCCTCGGCGGTCGCCAAGTCGACGACAAGCTAGCGAGCTGATTGAGAACCCTACTGCCCTCGCCTCGCCGTGGTCAATTTTGACAGGCGAGAGAAGTAGGGTTCTCAGGATGGTGCGAGTACGTTGAGCGGCGTGTGGGTGTGATGACAAAGCGAAGACTTCGAGCGTCAGATTTTTGAGGTCGCGCAAACTCAATTTACCGTCAGCTAAAGCAACGACAGGCAGACTTCGTTTCTCTCGCATGAGACCATGTATTCGTTCATGACACCTTTATTTGTAACTTTGGACGGCAAGATTGTCACCGCGCCGATAGGCTACAACCATCTGGATGCGGTCCTGGGAGAGGGCATAGCTGCTCCCAAGCTGCTCACACAGCCCTCACAGTCCTCTATTGCTGAGAATTCTCCCGAGGTGAGCGTGATGCAAAAAATAGTAAGTCTGACTTTACCATTTCCTCGCGCAACCTCCCCTGGTCCTCTCATATTCTCTCCCTCCCTCTATCTCCTGCTCTCATCTCCAGTCCTTCTCTCACCCCACCCACCAGAGCCATGATGTGGTTGATTTGCTGCCCGGCCACGTCTGGCACATCATCTTCCGCTGCCTGCTGCAGCCACCGGCCGATCCTGCTAAGCAGCAGCAAAAACAGGAATACTCTATTTCTTTGGAGGAAGCATCATTGCGGGGAGAACTGAGCAGTTTGTGTGACTTTGTTGCTTTGCAGCAGCATCAGTCTGATTCGCCTGACACACATGAGATTGAAGAAGACAATGAGGAGAACCCACTTTCTGCCAGGGAGCAGCATGAGAAGGATTCGAGGCGCTTCGGCTCCTCCTGGCATGTGCTGCGCTTCGCCATGGCCAGCAAGAGGCTTCTCCACCATGTCTTCTCCTTCTCCGTGAGTCACGTGTTGGTTCTGCAATCCATAGTACAACCTCCTCTGGTGCAATGAATTTTATCCATGTGATGATGACGAAAAGCTTTGTGGTTGCTCCTAAACCGTCACTTTTGTGAATGCAGGAGCTGGAGCCCATCTCCCTCAGATTCAACAACGGGAGAGCGTGGTGGAACCGATTGCTCCTTCGGTTCCTCAAACTGGGAGGTTACCATTCGCTTGACCTCACTTTCAGTAGCTGGGAGGTCCTGCACCGCTTCGACCGGCTTCTAACATCCTCTGTGCATTCCCTCACAAGCCTGTGCCTTGGGGTGGTCGATCCTTCACTCCGAGAAAAATGCATCCCATGTGTGAACATGCCGTCATTTCTTGAAGAGTTTGAGCAGCTGCAGCGGTTGAAGCTAGGCCATGGACGTTGGTCTCTACACAGTGTGAATTCGGCATCCTTCAAGGCACTAAAGAGCCTGACAATCGAGCGTTTGGAAGGCATCAGCCACGAATATAACTTCTTGTCTTCCATCTCACTGCAAATACATGAGTTCTTCCTGTCCTCCGACAACCGTAGATGTAGCCTTACTCTCGAGTTCTCTGCTGCTCGAGTCATCACAGTCAATTTTGGGCAGCAAATGCTTGCCATTCACTTCTCCCTCCCGCCCACGTTGAAGGAACTCTCTGTCACGGCAAGGAGACTAGAGGTTAACTGCACGAGTGCCAGCCCTCCTCGTCTCAACTCCCTCACGCTGATCGGCCGCAGCCAGCTTGACATTTGTTCACTCCCACTGGCTTCATCAAAAACAGTATTTTTCGATGGATCACACACCAAAGGAAGGATGGCTGAGCAGCATGCGCTTATGTTGACGCAGCTACTCAGTAGCATAGCGCCAATAGTGGAGACGCTTATAGTGAGGCATGGCTGGCCTCTGGAGGACGTGGATGCAGAGTGGGGCCGCCTGCGCTCTCTTGGGATTGGCGTGAGCGGCAGGAGATTCGGTGGTGGTCGGAATGGTGACACTGCCATGACTACAGTGGAGGAGGTTGGGCGTTCGTCTCTCTGGAGAAGGGGGTCTTGGTGGCGGAGGACAGACAGGCACCCACAGTAGCAGTGAGCGCGAAGGCATACGCCCCCCCTTCATCGAAGCTCCAGAGATGCAGTCGATTTTCTTCCCCACGCGACAGTGCCAGCCCAGCACCCTAGTTTCTCTGCGCAGGCAGTTCCCTTCTCTGGCTCTCTACTGCATTGTTGGGCAGTCGTATCGGTGGAAGGGAGAGGGGGAGAACGAGCCTGTAGAGCTGGTGAGGTCAGTGGAGCATGATGCTCTCAATGAGCTTGCAGTAATGGTGTCGCCAGGTGATGCCGCACACACCATAGAGAAGAAATCTATGGATCAGGATGATAGAATCATGCGGTTCCTGCAGGCGCTTGAGCAACTTCATGTTTTGAAAGGAGAATGGCAAAACCAGCCGAGGTGGTGAGTGGGTGAAACCAAGGTATGCAGGAAAGCAGAGAGCAATTGTGAGGTGAAGGTGGATAGAGAGGGCGAACAGGAGTGCAGAAGGCTTCAGAGTTTGTATAGGATCTTGTAAATAAAGCCGAGTGTGTATGAGCTGGATAATCTCAAGGATGATATAAGTTGTGTGTGGTTACATACGTGTGAAGGGACTTCGTTATTTTACTTTCATTACATATCTGGCTACTGCATTGTACCATGCTATAAATCTTATTGTAATTCCAATATTCATACATTCTACATGTGAACTCTTATTGGTTTGTCAACTTCGCCGCTTTGAACCGCTACTTAAACAGTCTGAACCGCGCTACTCAACCTCACGTGGTTGAACCCCCGTTCTAAAGTTTCGAAAGATGGCAGGTTGCGATACAAGCTGCAGTGTAACGTACGCAATTTGACTTCAGTTCGAATGGCAAGGTGAAGCCGCGTTTCACGATTTCAGCGGGGTTGGTTTGATGTGAATTGCGACACCTCCAAATGCGTAAACATGGTTTTCGGCCTTTCGAGTTTAGCGAGGTGTGTGAAGCTTGGCAACTAGACAGACTCAAGAGTTCATCGGCGCGACCACGGCTTGCATGATGAGTGAGGTGCTTCTCGATGTCACTTATTCTCGATTCCTAGAAGCTTCAAAACTGCTCTGAAATCGTTTGTCCAATGAGACCGTTGCAGCTGCCACCTGTCAGCCTCCTGAAGCCTAGAACCCAATTGCCAGCTGTCGGCGCCAAAGCAGCAACATGGTTATCGACGTTCATTGTTACGATGCGTTCAGATTTCATAGGAACGGCAATTCGCATCTGTCGCTCCAATTTAAAAGAAACTCGTCCAAAAGCACACCGCGAAACACCGGCGAAACTCCCCGCGAAACACCCCGTGTAACGCCTGTGGGCTGTGTTAAGGGCACTCCGCTGCGCCAAATAACACCCTCGTTTTGACCCAGTGGATAGCGAGGTGTTATACTGGTTTCAGAGCCTATGGTTCGAGTCCTGGCTGGTGCACATTTTCCGCCTGTGGCGAGAACCGAAATGTGGTTACCAGCTCGAACCCAGTGAACGATCCTGAAATCTAGGTCCCAGCTGCAGGGGGCCGACTCCCTGGAGTCCGAGGCCAACAGGGACGTTGGCGCCAGGGGGGGGCGAGTGTAACGCCTGTGGGCTGTGTTAAGGGCACTCCGCTGCGCCAAATTTCACCCTCGTTTTGACCCAGTGGGTAGCGAGGTGTTATACCCCGCGCCGTCCTCACGCTTTGTCCACTTCCCCCGCCGCTCCGCTGCCTCGTCGTGCTTCGCTGACTCGGTCAGCCAGTCGAGCCGCAGGTAATTGGCACCGCCATGGCGACGTCAGGCGTACCTCGTCGTGCCCGAGCCTGACCAGCGAGGATAGGGTTTCAAGGTTGGGTGAGTACGGGACGAGTGGTGCAGTGAGACGACCGCGTGGCTTCGAGTATCACAGATTCAGGTCAGCAACAATTCATCGGCAGACGGACTGTGCTTAGTTCGCCAATAGCCTAATAGGTCCTTGCGGAGTCAGTCAGTCATAGCTATTTGCGCAAGCGACTTGGTCAAGTATAGTTTTTTTTTTTTTTTTTTTTTTTTTTTTTCTACGTGTTGCTTTCTTGTGCCCTCTGTACTCGAACGGGCCATGAGTCGTTGCAACCTTGTGTAGACCTGAACGAACCAAATTCCCTAGTTGTCCTTCGCCTATGGCAACTGACCATGAGCGCTCCGTGCTGGAAGAGAGCATGGCTGCTCTCGACCTGTCACAGCCCTCCACAGCTGAGAATGATCATCAGGTGCGCTTGATTCCGCAAACAATGCATCTGAGGCGTCCGTTTCCTTGTACATCCTCACCTTATCCTCTCCCTTTCTCTCTCTCCCGAACGGTCCGATTAATTGATGATGTGATAAGTGCAGGCATGGTTGGTGTAGGCAGGACTTGGCAAATCAAGCAATTAACATATGTCCCTAGTCCATACAAGCCACTACTCACCCCCCTCCAGCGCGTGGAGCAGGTCCCGCGCTCTCTTCCTCATTTCCAGTGCTTCTCTCTCTCTCTCTACCCATCAGAGCGTGGACGTGGTTGATCTGCTGGCCGGCCCCATCTGGCACATCATCTTCCGCCACCTGCTGCAGCCGCCTGCTGATTCCACTCAACAGCAACAGCAGGACGACTCTGATGAGGAATCGTCATCTGGGGGAGCAGGGCGACTCTTATCAGCATCTCAGGAAGGAGCGGACAGTGGTTTGTGTGAGTTGATCGGTCTGCAGCAATAGACTGATCCGTTGGAAAAAGCGGGAAGCTTCTCATGGCTGAGCACTAGAAATCTTTCTGAGCGCGAGAAGCACAAGGAGTACGCTCGGCGCTTCGGCTACTCCTGGCCTCTGCTGCGCTGCGCCATGGCCAGCAAGAGACTCCTCCGCCATATCATGTCCTTCTCCGTGAGTCATCTTGCGCTTCCCCTTCCCCCTCCCCCCTTCCCCCTTCCCCCTTCCCCCTTCCCCCTTCCCCCTTCCCCCTTCCCCCTTCCCCCTTCCCCCTTCCCCCTTCCCCCTTCCCCCTTCCCCCTTCCCCCTTCCACCTTCCCCCTTCCCCCTTCCCCCTTCCCCTTTCCCCTTCCACCCTCCTACTTCTTTACCACCGTGTAGCCTCCTTCTCTGTGGGTCATGCACTGCTCCCTCCCCCCCTTATGCACTTCTTTCATGCCTGCACCAGCATCCTCCTATGTGGGGGCATTGATTTCTACACCGTTCAGCCGTACTACATATTTCCGCCCAAAAATTAATACTCTTCAAGCAACATTTTAGAAAAACAACAAGTCTCCGCTTCTTTGTGTGTGCAGGATCTGGAGCCTTTCTCCCTTGCATTCAAAGGCGATGAACCCCAGTGGAAGGGAATCCTCTCTTGGTTCCTCCAGGAGCCAGGTCACAAGTCCCTTGTCCTTGTTTTTAGCAGCCCAGAGAATCCTCATGGCCTTGGCCGACTCATGGCATCCTCTGTTCAATCCCTCACAAACTTGTGCGTGAGGGTCAATGAGTTCTATCCATATGGAGTGAACACCCTCCTGCGTGTCAATACAGCTTTTCTCGAGGAGTTTGGGCAGATGCAGCACCTGAAGCTAGGACTTGGAGACTGGGAGCTAGGCAGTGTGAATGCAGCGTGGTTCAAGGCACTGAGAAGTCTGACCATTGAACACTCGAACAGCAAGCGCTGTGATCTAGGATTTTTGTCTTCGATCGCGCCGCAGCTGCATGAGTTGTCTCTCTCCTCCTCCTCCTTCTGTCACTTCTGCAGCCTCAGGCTCGAGTTTCTTTCAGCCCGAGTTATCACAGTCAAGTTTGAGGAGCAGGAGCTTGACGTTTGCTTCTCCCTCACGCCCTCCTTGAAGGCATTTTCGGTCTCAGCAGCGGAGCTAAATGTCAACTGCAATTCCGACAGCCCACTCTCTCTCGAATCTCTTACCCTGATTGGTCGCAGACACCTTTTTGTTTCTTTGCTCCCA